CAAGTCTAATATGTTTACTTGTTTTGAGCACTTTTGCAACTGTGTGGCATGCCAGTTCAATGCAAAAATATGTATATTTCAAATTGATGAAGGTGGCGAATTTTTCGATCCGGATTTTCAAAAATATCTTGCTAACAAAGGCATTGTTCATCAGTTTGCATGCCCTAAGATCGCGGAGCAAAATGGGAAGATCAAGTGAAAGCATCGCAACATAACGGAATTGAGACTCACTATGATGTTCATGCCAATCTTCCACCCAGATTCTGGTTGGATTGTTTTTCCACATCAATATTTCTCATGAACAGATTGCCCTCACCCACTCTTTCCATGGACTTGCCATTTTTTCCTTTATATGTTGGGCATCCTGATTACACTCCCTTACATGTGATAGGATCCAAATGTTTTCTGTACCTTGATGATCATCGACCTAACAAATTGGCGCCTAAGTCACTTGTGTCTTCATCAGCTATGGTTCCCGACATAAAGGCTTACATCTCCCAATGAATCGTGTTTATATTTCTAGCCATGTTGTATTTGGTGAAAGCATTTTTCTTTTTGTTCAGCCTATTCACCTTTATGGAAGCCCCTCAGTTAGAGACGATCTTTGCACCTTTCCAAACTAGGATGATTCTCAAACCAGTTCCTTATCAACTGTTCCTCCTCCATTAACAGTCTTCGATCTATCTTTTGTTGGATCATCTACAATAACAACCATCTTTGCTCTAGCACTTTACGCACGACATCTACTTGTTGGAACGGAAATTTCAAGAGCTATTGACAGCGCGTATGTATCGAATATCAAAAATTTTTATTTAAAACCCTATAAGGCGGAATTAGGGCTTACATTCGAGATCTCTCGGGACTGATCTCATCTCAGCACAAACGCAGAACAGAACAATGACTACAGCTCGACGAACGTCACAGCCTTCTGTTGTATATCCCACAACGTCAGAATTCCGATGCAGTGTAGGCTGCCAAGACCTCTGAATCCTTTTCTCTCTTTCAGCTTCCCTAAAAAACATGAGTAAAGATAAGATGCTGAAATAAAAAACCTAGACATCTATATATAGGCTACGATAGAGACCTTAAGGAGATATAAGGACCGGGCTTTCAATGGGCTTAAGATTCCTATGTTCAACGCATAACAAACGTCCTACAGCCCATTAATAATAAGTTAGTTCATTAAAGACTTATTATTTGATCTCTTGGGTCTTGTCTCAAAATTATATTCGAGCTCCTTATTATTATATGCTTAATAATCGTCCCACGTTTAAGATTACAGATGTATGTACATCAATTAAATAAATCACTAACAATTATATTTAATTGACTTTTTTTATTCCTTCAGACCTTATCACTCAACTTATTTGTTATGTCGGATAATTAAATCCACAGTTGATTTTGACATTAACAAAACTTATGAGCTTCCTCAAGATGACATCATTAACCCATATAAAAACTAGAATGTGGTTTCTTTTAATATTTAATTTTCACCATACAAATAATATCGTCTCCCAATTCATCGAGCTTATTGATCCAATATGAATCTCACTATTTGATGAATTAAAGTGACAAACATTATATGCACGTGCCAATTAAATATTTAGGGATTAAGAGCATAAACAATTGTAATAATCATGAGATATTTATTATCTTATTAAATCAGTAAAAGATAATAACTTTAACATGAGTCTGTTTAATACACAAAATGTACTAGTGCAATAATCCGAGACATCAAATAATTTTTTATAGTCAAGACTGACTATACTAGAATATTACACTACAATCATATCGATGACATGTCCAATTTCATATACGATTGTAAACATATACTCATATTATACAAGGATCCAACAATCTGATATTCTGTGTATAAGTCGAACTCTATATATATATATAATATAATACAAATATTTTGCCCATATAAATTCTCAATAAAATAGAAAGAATAAACTTTTATTAATTAATAAAATAAGTTTCACTACAAAAATCAAACTTTTAGTATACTACTCTATCAGTACTAGACAGTCTTCAGTTGCTACACTGGCCATATTTGATCTCCCTATTTTCTCTCCTGCTGCTAATTTGCTGATGCTTCTACTGGAATTATCACTATGACTCCATTTGCATGTACCAATGTTGTTTCACCACTACCGCTGTAACTTATGAAGCACGGATAAAGATACGAGATACGGATACGATACGATACCGGTATGAAAATACAGCAAAATCAGAAAAAATAGGATACGGGTATGGCTAGAATATATCCATAAAATATATATTTTTTAAAATTTTATTATTATATTTAATGTAATAATTATGATTTATAAAGTGAATCACACATCTACCAAAGATATATAATAATAACTAACCATTCTATCATTCATAAATCATATATTCTATATCACATACATATTGCATAATATCAAATTCAAGCTTAAACAACACATACATATTGCATAATATCAAGTCCATACTTAAACAAAAGAAACCATCCGATTACACGCACTACAACAAAAAGTATTTTTTGCGACAATTTTAAATTTGTCACAAAAAGTTTACTATTTGCGATGATTTTATAATTTTGTCTCAAATTTCTATTTTGACAATTTTTTTGTGACGTTTTTTTAAAAACGTCGTGAAAACACGATTCCCTCCTAATTGTTTTGGGCAGGAGAAATGGCGGGAAGTGGCAATTTTTTACGACAAATTTTTTTTGAGGCAAATAGTTTTATTTCGTCGCAAAAAATAAATAATCTAAAATTTAAAGTAAAATAAATTCTAAATTTCTATTTTGGAAGTTTTTTGCGACTTTTTTTTAAAAATGTCGCGAAAAGGCGATTCCCTCCTAATTGTTTTTTGGCGAAAAAAATGGCGGGAATTAACAAATTAAATAAAAAATAATAATTTAATTAATTTTTTGCCAATAAATTTTCAGGTAAATAAATAATTTAAAAAATAATAATTAAATTAATTTTTCGCGACGTTTTTAGAAAAATGTTGCAAATAAGTTTTTACGTAAATTAAAATTTTTTTAAAAAATAATTAAATTATTTTTCTCGACGTTTTTTAAAAACGTCACAAATAACTTTTTAGATAAATAAAAATTTAAAAAATAATAATTAAATTAATTGTTTGCGACATTTTTAGAAAAACGTCACACATAATTTTTTACGTAAATTAAAAATTTTTTAAAAATAATTAAATTATTTTTCGTGACTTTTTTAAAAAGTATCGCCAATAATTTTTTTACGTAAATAAAAAATTTTAAAAATATTAATTAAATTAATTTTTCGCGACGTTTTAAGTTTGTTGGGAATATTCCTATCTCATAATATTTTGTGCAACGTTGTTTATTTTCGTCGCAGAATATAATTTTTAAAAAATTCTTTTGCCCTAAATTCTTTTTGTGTTTTTGTTTTTTTTGTTTTTTTGTCCTAGTACTTCCTCACCGCTTTCTTCTCTCACGACACTCCTCGCCATCTCTCTCTCGCTCGCTCGCTCTCTCCTGCTCTGCTGCCTTGAGTTCGACTGAGAAGATTGAGTTTTTTATCGTTGCCTTGAGGTCGACAAGGCCCTAAATACTCCGAGAATCGGTGATCTAGAGCTTTTTTTTGAGAGCTTACGAACAAGATCTCAATTGTAAGGTTTCGGATCGTCGTTGTAGGAAGAAGATGTGAAGAATTTCTATGAAATCTATCCAGAAATTGGTGAAATAGCCAAGGACGTGAGCTAAATTGCCAACCTTCAATCAAAGATTTGAGGCCTCAGCCTCGAGCTCCAACACCGTCTTTATCTCGTCAGTAACAGAGATCCAAAGGATTCCCTCTCTCTCAACTCAAAACCCTAACTTTCACTCTGCACCAACCTAACACCTCAATGCAATGATATCTCTCATCAGAGATCTATCCGACAAAATCCAAGGCCCTCTCTCTCTACATACATTTTGGAGTATTATGGTGGTATTTATTTATATTTTTGTGTAAGCTAGCTCTGATTGGGATTTATGAGAGCTTTGCAAATGATTTGGCATTGCAGAGATGTTGATTAAAGGGCACCTTTTGAGGTTTTATGTCGATTTGGATTCAATTCTTACGGATGACTGTAATTTGGAAACGTTTTGGGACGTTTCGTTACTCTATTGAGACAATTTATGATAAGAGATATACATACACATTATATAAGCCATCAATTACATACACAACAAAAAATGTTGCCCTTGGGTTTGCAGTCTACGTCTAGTGCCCAATGTGATTCAACATTTTTTAATACAGGTTGGGGGTTTCGACCTCGTAGATGATGAAAGTAAACCAGAAAGGCGTCCTACCAAGCATATGCCCAAGCCAGTTGAATTGACAAATTAGTTCAATCCTGCATACTCTTACTACGCTTATTACTGCTATGCAAACTTGTATACTCTCAATAAGGTTTGTAGGATACCGAAATCTCATTTTGTCATTGTTATGAAAAATGTTAGTATATGCTAATGCACACTGTTAAGTGTATCCTAACAATTGACTGTTTAATTAGTGCCTAAAAATTATATGTTTCATGCCATGGTGGTATTCATTATTGCAGACCTGATATGTCTAGGAATTCCAATTAATGACAACCTTAGCATGGTCAATTTATCTGAAGTGTCCTATCAAAAAAATATTTATCTAAAGTGATGTTGATCAAATATTCAGCTTTACTTTGTGTCACTACCTTGGGTAATTTTAAAGGCATGGTGCCTGGAATTCTCCTTGGACATTTTTCCTTTATTTAGGTCTGTTAAATTACTAGGAGTTCTCTTTGGGACCATTTATATATTGCATTCCTGGTGCTTCAAAACAAATTTAGTGTTTCCTCAATGGTAACAAGGTATGCCTGGTAGTCTAAGGGTGAGATTCTATGGTGTCTGGAATATTTCATATTGTAATTCACATGAGTGAAAACTTGACTCTTTTCGCAACCCATTCCCGATGTTCTTCCAGCGTGGCTTAAATGTATCGCTTTTTATGGATGACCCTTTGCAAATTCATTTAACAAAGGAGCCTCTTGTGGAAGAATACAACGTTGCAACAAAGGTTTGACCATTCCATCTCTACCAATGTTTACGCTCATGGTCATGGTTATGTTGATTACAGAACCTTTGTGTTCCAGTTATGGAAGCTCAGTTCCTGTGATCTTTGCGAGATAGCCATAAATTCTGTCTATCAGTCTAGATTCTCACATCAAGCCAAGGTGAAAGATTTTATGATAAGCCATCAACGTTTGAGTTTTGTGATAAACATATGATATCCATCGAGAATCAAAAGTTGAATCAAAAGTTGCAGAGACAAGGTTCCATTTGGCGACCTACTACTACCTTTCCTTTCCTTTCCTTTTTTTTTTGGTGATATTGTTACTGTTTGATTAACCTGCCTAGTCATGTAGATGTGTGATATCTCCAATTTAGTTCATCAACTTAGTTTTACCCCACCCAAAAAAAACACAAAACACAAAAGAAAACAATAAAAAATGAAAATGAAAAAACATATCGAAACTTCATTTTGTGTTACTTTTTAATGCTGATAGGCAATGCCTCCAATATGTGTCTACTTTTGGCGAGTTTTTGAAGCATGGTTAGCCATTGGTGTATCATATTCAATGATAGTCGCCTTAATTTATGAATTAGGAGCTGTACGCATAGCAAGAGTTGTATTGGTATTTGTAATTGGATTTACCTCCTAAAATTGTTTTGCAGGGGTACTTCTCTGCCGGCAGAGGAGTTTGTAAACTACACCAATAGGTCAAATGTAAACCTTGTGGAGGCTTTCAGAAACATGAGACCTGGCGCAAATGCTACGAATATGATATCCATCGAGGTAGTTCATTGTATATTTGTTGATGCATAACAGATAAGAAAACCCTTGCCTCCTCAACTCTTGCTATCCTGGCCCCTTCCACTGAATGGTAGTTAAATGAGTTTAGCCATATGATTGCACCATGCAGATGAATGGTCAGTCAACTAACAACCTAGTGATAAGAGGAGTGGGAGAATTAGTCATTTACAACCATAAATAAAAGATCGTGTAAAAAGGTAATTCTGAAATTTAGTGTTGGTCACCATTGGAACAAAGAAGTCGAATGCCCCTGTTTAGTGTTGGTCACCATTGTGCAGTGATTTCTTTTCCTCTCTATTAGACACGCTTCCTCTAACATAAGTGTTGATTTATGAGCTGAGCTATGCTGCTGCAATTCCTGGGTTCCAAGTTTTTGGTTGCTGAACAGCTGGTTTTTTCTGCTGTGCTGTTGAACTGAGAGCTGCAATGGACAGCCAGAATAGGAGCTATGCTGCAAGTGGATCTGTTCCTCCTGCTTTAGGTCCTTTGCAGGCTGTCTGATGATGCAGTGATCAGAGTTGCTAAGCTAATGACAGGGGTCAAATTGTGCAGGAGCTGAGCTACAAATTGTGTTTGTTAGCTGCTTCTGCAGATGAGCTGTGTTGTGGACTAAAACTATTTTTTCTATTTGTAGAATTTCTTGTTCTTTGATTCTTGTAATTCATTTTTTTTGGAAATAAAATTTTATTTTATTTTTTGAAAAGATGTGCATTGTATTAATTGTGTTAGTTTTTTATTGAACACAAGTATTATTGGTGCACATGTGAAAAATTTTATTGGAATATCATTTTTGATGTAAAATAAAAAAAATAAACTTTTTTGCAACGAAATAAAAATCGTCGCGAAAAATTGCAAGAACAAGCTTTTTTGCGACGATTTTTTTACATCGCGAAAAGCTAATTAAATTATTATTTTTAACATTATTTATGAAAAAAATATTCACGACGATTTTTTTACGTCACAAAAAGTTAATTAAATTATTAATTTTTTTATGTCGCACAAATTTAATTAAATTATTATTTTTAATATTTTTTATTTATGTAAAAAATTATTTGCGACGATATTTTTTAGGTCGCGAAAAGTTAATTAAATTATTATTTTTTACATTTTTATTTATGTAAAAAATTATTTGTGACGATTTTTTTACGTCGCGAAAAGTTAATTAAATTATTATTTTTTACTTTCTTACGTCGGTGGAATGGATTTTAGCAATGTTTTTTTATTTTTCGCGACGTTTTTATTTTCGTCGCGAATTTTTTTTTTTGCGATGAAAAAAAAATTGTCGTATAATACTTTATGCGACGAGACTATTGCTATGAACACGTGACAAAAAAAAACGTCGCAAAAAATCATTGGCGACGATTTTTGTTAATTTAGGGACGAAAAAAATTGTAGCAAAAAATGATTTTTGTTGTAGTGACGTCAAGCAACAAAAAGCTTGTAATTTGGAATATTATCCTATTACCGGTCAAGCAACAAAATAGTCTCTCTTGTTACTAAGATGTTTCCCCAAAATTATCTTCATTTATATCCCCTCCATCTTGGATTAACATAGCTTCCATCTCTGGCTCCTCAAGTGAAAGACTTGCAACTTCAAGCAACCCAGCACCCTCCAATGAATCAAATGCATCTCCACCAATGTCTCATAGCTTCGTATCTCCTTCCATGTATTGTTTACTCCTCCTCGATAAGAGACGAAGATTGTTGTGTACAAAAACTAAATCTTGGGCACGAAGTGGTGTCATTTTTTTCCTTTTCATGGAAGTAATGAAAGATTAAGTACTCCAATTTCTTTCACTGCAAGATGAGGAATAAGGTTGGCTAAGTAATTTCAATGCTAAAGATTGAAGCATTGGTGCAGGAGACCCATGAGAAAACCACCACATGAGAGGGTCCATTAATCCACGATGTATTCTTGAGTCGTGCTCTCCAAATTGATCCAAACAATTAGAGAACTTAGCATACTCAGTATTAGCCTTCATTCTCTCTTGTGGATTCGAGAAGTATCTGTGAAAGCATTTATTTCTTATAGATGAAATATCTCCGTCCATGTGAGGAGGAACACAATTGGGATTTTCATTTAGCCACTGTGCAATATAATACCTATATTGTAAAATTAGAAGATATCAAAACCAACTCGATAACAAAAAAAGAAGTAATTTAAGAGTAAAAACTAAAAAGAAAGTTGTCACCTTGGATTTAAGGAATATGCAAGACAATGAAGAGGTGTGTTACTTTTAGCACATCTAGAACTCGATGTACCACATCATAAAAGATTGACCTTGCATTATCTGGCTTCCCTTCGTGCCTATATATAGTTGTCTTCACCTTGTCAATCATTGTGTCCCACATTTCATAAACCAAATGAAGACATGGTATGTCTGTATCGCAAACCCTCAACATCTCATAAATGGGCAATGTGAAAGAAAGTATATAATCTATCTTATTCCACCAAATGTCACTCAAGATGTTTTCCTTCACAAATGCCGCTTTTACAACAACATCTTCTTTGTAAGAAGACCATTTCTCACTAATTACCATTGCTTGAAGATCATGCTTGATGAGTTTAAATCTTTTCATCATTATAATAGTATATGCAAAATGAGTGTCTACAACAGCAAGCAATTTTAAAGGAACAAACTCATTGAAGATAAACAACCTCAAAAAATGATTCATGATGAAATTTTTGATAGTTACTAAATCTTTAACAACTTCTGTAATCCAGTGACATTCCTCATAAGTAATTGTATTCTTCTCAAGATTTTTTGCTACACAAATATTCTTAAGGGCAAGATTCAATGTGTGCACTACACATGGGGTCTAGAAGATATGTTGGAACTCATTTTGAATGATTAATCTAGCAGAACAACAAACAGGAGCATTATTAGTAATTACTTGAACCACATTTTTAGGTCCAAATTCTGTAATTACTTGATTGATTAAGTTTGCAATAAAAAACTTATCTTTGATCTCACCATCGCAGTTGACATCTTTTAAGAACATTGCCCCAGATTCTGATGCAGCCATGAAATTGATAAGAGGTCTTCTTAGTGAATCAGTCCATCCATTTGTAACAATGCTCACTCCCTTTTCCTTCCATGACAATTTAGTTGGCTCCAACAACCTTTCTACATGTACCCTTTCCTTTTGAAGTAGTGTGGTCCTCAATGTATTGTAATCAGGTGGTACATAACCAGTAATCAAATTAGTGGCAGCAAATGTATAAAAACTCACATTATATGGGTTCCTAACTAAATGAAAAGGCCAGCCACCTGAATAAAATATTCGTGCAATGTGAGAGTGCAATTTCCCAAGTACCCGAGTTAAAAGCTTTCTCCAAAGCACTAGTTCCAGTCGCCTTCTTTTTTCTTGGTTCAAAACCTTCCATTCTAAGTGTTCCAGTTTCTGATATCCACATACTTCTAGTTATAGGGGCCTCGAAAGAGGAAGGTGGCAAAGGAACTTTCTTTGGCATAGTCATTTTAACCCTATTCTCTGCTTCTTCAATTAACCTATGCATTTCAATAAGTTTTGGGGGAGTCACTTTAGAGCACACTTTAACCCCATGACCAGAAATTTTCAATAAATGTGCCTTCACATGAAAATATGATCCACTATACTCATTACGACATAAATTGCATCGGAATCTAGTATTTCTACCTCCTTCCACCCTTTTTTCTAATATAGTAACAAAAGCCCAAAGTGGAGAATTATCATCTTGAGTGGCGTTGCCACTTGCACTTCCACTTCTACCAGTTGAGCCCATACTTTTCGTACGCGTACTCATTCCCCTATAATTATTAATTTAATAAAATAAATCAGCCCTCAATAGTGTAGTAATTTATTGACAAGAGTTAATCAATCTGAACATCAAGGAAAAATTTCTTGCTCACATGCAACAAAAGTTGTTACCTTGTACCTTAAATAAATTTTTTAGCAAATAGATGTTGTTTGCCTCATAAACATAAATGGTTCCCTTCTTTGAAGCTAATTTTCAAGTGTGTACTGTGTATGTTTTCAACAAGAAACCAAGTCAATATCAAACCAATTTTCAAGTGTATCACTTCTAAGGATAAACCGAAAAACCAAGTCAATATCAAACCAAGTCACTTCTACGGCAAAATGAAGCTAATTTTCAACAAGAAACCCAACATCCATCCAGAATCGGCATAATGATATTCCAGCATGCATATAAAAATTGGTTTGAGAAATATCAATAGAGCATGGAGTTCAACTTATTGTGCATCTAATAATTTAAAAAAAATCAGTTTATTGTGCATCTAATTCATTCCCCTAAATTGCAAACCCTAATTCAAGGCTCAAAATGAGTGCTAACCACTGGTAAAAGGCAAAAGAGAGGACACTAGGACAGAGAGATAGAAAAATAGAGAGAGGAGAGAGCTTACCCGAGGTGAAATAGGAGATACCTGTCGTCGGAGGTGAAAGAGAAGATACCCCTTTGTCAGAGGTGACAAAGGAGATACCAGTCGTCGATCGGCGTCAAATACAGTCAGAGTCAGTCGATCGTCGTCGAGTATCGACTGAAAGGAGTGGGGGGCTTGACGGGTTGTGGAAAAAAAGTGTACAGGTTTTAGTCTTTTAGACTTTTAGTTTAATAATATATGTATATATTTTCTGCAAATAAGGGTCTACATATATTGCTCTTGTGCCCTTATACTTTTTTAAAATTTGAGTAATATCCCGCCCTATTCTTATGCGTATCCTAGGTGTATCCCACTCGTATCCAAAACGTATCCGGCCATATCCAAAAACTAAATTTATTTTTTTAATTTTAGGAAACTTCTCAGACGTATCTGGTACGTATTCAACGCCTATCCGATGTGTATCTGTATCCAAAAGTATCCGATACAGATACTTTGACCCTTTTGAAGTATCTGTGCTTCATAGGCTGTAACTAGCTCCTATTTCTCCAAATTCAGAAATTGAATCAACGCCATAACATTCCATGATCACTAGATCCAAGCGTGGAATTCATAAACCCAATATGAAAATACAAGAATTTTACTATGACCTGAGCTTTTGGCCTTATTCCTTCGGAAACTCACTCCATAACCAAGGCCAAACTTTATCCTAGTTGGTCAACTACTATGGACGAGGAATTGACTGCTCTTGCTGCTATTAACACATGGACTCTTGTTCCATCTATTCCAAACATGAATATAGTCAAATGAGTCTACAAGGTCAAATTTCAATTAGATGGTTCACTTGAGAGACTCATAGCTCGGCTACTTGCCAAGGGCTTTCATCAAGTCGATGGCATTGATTTCTCTGAAACCTTTCCCCATTGATCAAAACTGTTAGCATCCAACTTTCTTTGATGGTCGTCGTCATCAAAGGATGGGAGATACGCTAACTTGACGTAAAAATGCCTTTTTTCATGGTTCTCTCTTTAACCTAGTGTACATGTGGCAACCCCCAGACCATGTTGATCCCTCTTTCCCCTACGCATGTCTGTCAGCTTTATTGTGCTTTATATGGCC